AAAAAAAAATAAAAAAATAAAATAAAATAATTAATAGCATTTGTATAGTGTATACCCTGCTCAGCAGAAAGCTGTAAGCACTTTATAATTATTATTACTCAAGCAGACACTAGAACACTAAGAAATATTATCTGCTTCCCGAGAAGCATACAGCAGAAGCAGTTGATTATTCTTTATCTGTCTATAGTTGAGTACCCATTCCATCCCAGATGAAGTAAGGAAAAATGGTACAAAGTGCCTTTCCCAAAGACACAATGACTGGTCGGTGACAGGGTCTGAACCTACAACCTTTCAGTTGCACTGTAAGCCTACCAGCCTAACCATAAGGGCCACGCCACTACATCTAACCACATGGTACATGACAACAAATCATGACAGTGTGACCACCGGGTGCTTATGATTTATTTTTGAAAAGTAAACAATGACATATAAAAAAAAAAAAAAGGGAACAAGATAGAGTGTTGGGCGAGGTGACCTTGACATGTCGCAATACCCCCCTTCCCACGCTGTCAGCTGGTGAACGAGCAGTGACACAATAATCACACCATCTTACCCTTTTGAAAAACCGCATTGTAATTGTTAGATCATATCAGAAGCTTGTTTTACATTAGTGAGGTGCCCAAGCAGGAACGCTATGACATATCGAGATAGCTTAAATCCTGACACGTTGAAAAAAAGTTTATAAATTTGGGAATGGAAAAAAAATATTGTAATGATGACTCCAAAAAAACAAAATTCCTATCATGCTACATGTACTCTTACTATATAATATTGTCACTACAAGCATTCTCCTAAAAAAAAAGGCAAAAAAACCAAACAACAATAATAATATAAAATAAAGGCAAAAAACAAAACAAAACAAAAAAACCCCAAAACACACACCAACCACCTCCCCCCCCCCAAAAAAAAGTCACAAAACAACAAAACAAATAAACAAAGAACCCAAACAGTTGGATCATTCTGAAATGCATACATGAGCAGTTCAAAATATTCTTCCATTGACAGCAGCTGGACAGGATTCATTCCACACTCAATCTAACTAGTCTTTAGACAGACAGACAGGCTGGCAGAAAGACTGGCAGGCAGACAGACAGACAGAGAGACAGACTGGCTGGCAGACAGACAGACAGACAGACTGGCTGGCAGACAGACAGACAAACAAACAGACAGACTGGCAGACAGACAGAAGGACAGACAGATAGACAGACAGACAAAAAAACAAAAAAAAAAACAGCACAAAAATCAGTGAAACACAGTAACAATTTACAAACACCACTTGATCCCGAATTTGTCTACATGACAGGGGTCCCTTAGAACTAAATAATAGTCACAAGCTCTCTTGTCTTTCTGATAACAGTACTTCTTTTATTTACACTGTTGACTTCATGATGCCAAACGATAATCTTAATCAGTGAATTCAGCACAAGATAAATCTCTCTGACCCTCTCTTTTTGTACATGCTTTGTGATATCAAATCAAATTTCTATTTTTAGACAAGACCACAAGAGTTCAAATGAAAGGGGCTCTTTATCAGACTGAGATAGCCCAGGTTTGACATTGACAGGCAGCTACAACTGGTTTGATTCTTCAGTCACTTAATAGTAACATGAAGAGGAGTTTTTCATTTTTTCTCTCCCCCCCATACCCCCCCCCCACAGACACACAAAAAAAGTAGTCAAATTCAGTCAAACCTGTCCTAACAGCCACTTGTCTAAGACAATTACCTGTACAAATGACTACCCCCCAATTATAATGACACCCAAGATATCTATCAGTCTAAGACAATAACTTTTCTCACAGACAAAGGGTGGCTGTCTTCGACAATTTTGATTGCATTAAGATTTTAACCCCTTCACTGCCAGGCCTGAGAATGTCTTGTGTTCTCTTATTGGATTGAGGAGTAGGCCTGGCAGTGAATGAGTTAATAAAACATGAGTACAAGTTATCTTTAGTTTTTAGTTTTAGTTAGAGTTTTACAGCACTTGCAACACAATAAGGTCCTTTAAGTGCGGAAGAATAGATGTGTTATAAGAGAGTAACATACATAAAAAAAGGGAGAGATAAGGACAACAGATGTTAGATAGAAAAGAAGGAACAAACCACACCAGAGCAACTGTCAACCACCCACTACAAGCTCTTTGAGTCACTTGCCATCCCCTGACGAAAAGAACAAGCCGCAAGCTCTAGCACGCCCTTTCCCTCGCACACGTTCTAGATTATCAGCTGCCAACTATGATGACCGAGGATTTTCACTCTCAACTACAAGTTAACAATTTGGTTTTGTTTCAGCAAGCACTTTACGGCATTTGTAAAACAATTAGGTCATATAAGTGCCAAAGACTAGAGATGTTACAAGAGAGTAACAAACACAAAAAAAGAAGGAGGACAGATAAGGAAGATAGATGTTCGATAGGAAAGAAGGAATAAACCACACCATAGCACCTGCCAACCACCCACGTTAAGTTTTCGACTGTTTTCACTTTTGGTTTCACAAATTGTAATTGTAGATGTTTTATGCCCCCTCATCAACACAATTTACATAATTTATGACAGCAGAGCTATTATCTCTAATGTTCTATCCAATAATTAAAAGACGATTATCAATAAAGGTCATCGAATCCATGGTCCTACAGTTGAAGAATCAACCCCCCGTTTGTTTCACATGTTGTAATTGAAGACGTTTTATGCCCCACATCAACGCAGTTTACATAGCTGCTACACAACAGATCCTGGTGTGGGTTTTTTTTCTTTCTGATTCACAAATGAATGGCTGAGAACTTTTTGTTATTGATAATAACATTGACCAGGCAATCACAATGACATCATTTGTTTTTGCGAGTTAGGCAAGAGTTCAATGCCCTCCGAGATACAAATAGGAAAACTAGTGCACCAAGCAACTGGCCTGGTTGTCAGACAAAAAAAAAAGAAAGAATAACAAACAAGGAAAAAACCAACAGCCTCAGTCGATTCTTTTTCCTCTAGTTTGGTTTTAGTTTGAATAAGAGTTTTAAGGCACTTGCAACACAAACAGATCATGTAAGTGCCGAAAGATCTGTGGCATTACCGGGGAGTGACATACAAAGAAAAGATGAAGGAGGGAATGAGAACACAGATGCTAGATAGGAAAAAAAGAAGAAATCACACCGAGACATCAAAAACAAAACAAATAGCATAAATAATCGATAATGGTACCACGACACTGGAATAAAGTGCTCAGCTATTTTTCGCGTATGAGGATATTGGTAAAATAATAATCTCATAGCTTGTTCATTGGTCTTACTTTTGAGGAAAACAATATCCAACTATCTTCTTGAATAAAAATTGAGATTATTTTATGATTGGAGAAGGTGAGGGTTGCTTGGTGTCAGGGGGTAGAAATTAGTGAGAAAACAGATGTCAAAGTTTGTGACTTCAAAAGCTAAAGTGACCTTGGAATCTGCAAATTTACATACTTGAGCCTGTGATCCACATTTGTTCGGTAAAACCTTCACAGAAATGTGTTTTTAAGTGGATACAAACGTGTCCCCACCCCAAAAAAAAGAAAAAAGAAAAAAAAAAGATGGATGGAAAGGACGAAAAGAAAAAGTAGACTGACTTAGCAGCAGAACTCTCCAACTATCCATCATCACCTTTCTTACCCTGGACCAGGGTATAGGCCATAGACTAACACTTTACACATTTCCTTATCTTGGGAGAGCTACTAGCTCTTGGGCCAACTATTAGCTGGTAGAAAACTGAAACCTCCATATAGCGCAAGGACGAATTACACAGCAACATCAATCCAGAAATGCAATCTGACTAACAAGCTGAAAAGGATAAAGATTTTCATAAGTACAAAGAGATAAGGAGAAAGGACAACTTTTTGTCAGACAAGTTGTCAAAGATGGCTGCTGCTTATGAAAGAGAGAAAGTGCACTTTCTAAGGAAAAATGCAAAAAGCTATCACAGATGATTGTGAAGGGATGATTAACTCACCTGGCTTCCTTGGTGAGCAAAGAAACATTCACTGATCCCAAGATGATACTCAGGTACAATCTACAGAAATGAAAGAAAACAAAATCCATGTATATATCGTACTCGCCTTCGACACCACATCATATAGAAGGAAGTACACTTAAAATAATGTAATAATTGGCCCATTTTTATACGATGCATGTACAATACCAGGTGAATTTCCGTTATTCTAGTAGGAGCTAAACATGTGTGAGATCAAGCACTTGTTGGCTTTTCATCATTTGGATATGAGTAACACTAAAATGATATGGAGGGAGCACTGCCGTCGTAAGGGAAAACGACGAATGGTCCTGCGCAGGTAGCGAGGCAAATTTTTCAGGAGAGGCAAAAACTTGTTTCACTTTATATCTCTTCTATTTTCCACTCTTTTAAGCTGTAATTCACCAGATATCTGATTGAGATGTTCTTAAAGCAGTTTCTAAAGTTTAAATGGTTTAGGTTAAAAAGTAGCAAAGTTATTCGACATTCGTCGTTCTCCCTTACACTGCGCACCCGCAGGTGAGCCTTGCGATGTAAGCGAAAACGACGAATGGTACGGTTCGTCGTTCTCCCTTACACCCGTGAACGTTTATGGGCGTAGGCGATGGTCAGTTGTGACGCATTATTGACAGTAATGACTGTGTACTGGTTACTACAAATAAAAACAAGACGAATACAAACTAGCTATTATACGTATACAGTTAGGTGTTTGTTATATCCCAACTGTAACTCGGTAAACGTCCTTCGTTTTCCTTCCTTGGTTTAACTACACAGTCAGTGTACAAATCAGATGTGCACACATTTTCAGCAGCTTGATTTAAAACTGTCTCATTCGTAACCCAAGTTTGGTTTCCATGATATCTCTCTATTGTATTCTCTTCAGAAGCGAGTTTTACTTTTACTTTCGCTAATTGCAAATTTTTCCCTGCACGACCAAAGGGATCAACAATGTTACAATGTCAATAATACGATCAGATCATTGCAAAGTCAAACTTTCTAGTAAGAATGTAACAATCTGACAAGACTGTATCACACACGCTTTCGGGAGAGGTAATGGGACGCTTTGTATTTAATAAAGGATTCATGTAGTTGATCGGATCGGAAAACATACCACAAAGTAGAGATCGACTGGAACGGTTTGAATCTGCAAGACATTATTATACTCGATCGTAACGTCCATCAAATCATAAAAAAATCGTAAAGCAAGACTAAGTGTCGCCACAATACCTCCACTTTTTAAGTTGGACAAAGAAATTTACTCTCATAACCCAGTGTCATTAATTGCTTGGTAATTCTATAATGATGTCGACCAGTGACACGTGCTAGACAAATTGCGGCACTATAGCCATCATTGTGATTTGGGATGTCAAATGACTGGACAGCAAAGTAACATGACGTTAGTCTGTGAACATCTGGCGGACACTAATATGCAGTGCTATTAAATTTCTCCCTAAATACTGTTTTGACCGTCCCATCCCCACCCCTTTCCCCCTGTTCCCATCCGTTTTCCCCTCTCTCCCGCCTGCTCTTGTCAATTCACACCATCAGCATAGGCCTAATACGTGAAGACAGACAGAAATACACACTAAGAGATACATTCTTATAAACCATCGACGGTACTCCGGGGGAGGGGGTGGTGGTGTATTTGTTTGCTAAAAAGGCCTAGTATGTTTGTACTGACGCAACAGTGACCACTTGTCATTCGTCGCCCATGCCGAATTGCCCAACGGCAGAGATCAGGGGACAACGCCGAAAGAGCAGTGATCCTTGACCGATCGACCATTCGTCGTTCTCCCTTACACTGAGCTCTGGCTCGGAGCTCGCCAGTGTAAGGGAAAACGACGAACTCTCAATTACGCAACAACGGATTAAGATATGACTAAAATTTTTTACACCATCAGATGCAGAATTAAATACTCTATGAAATATGTAAAATACAAAAATCGAAAATTTTTGACCATTCGTCGTTTTCCCTTACGACGGCAGTGCAGATCTCGAGATAACACCTTCCAACCACCAGCATTTGGGGCCAGAATGTCACTCTAAACTGGCTTTGTAATCCTAGAGACAGGAAATTGAAATCTCCCCACAGAATTTGGAATTTCAAAAGGATAGGCTACTTCTTTGCAGCTCTTTTAATTACCCGCGGACTTTCTCTCAACTGTTACCGTGAGAATTACAAAACATTACAAAAAGAAAATCAGTTTTTTTACCTTGAATAGACATAGACAAGACAGAATCCAAATTTCTCAAATGTGAGTTAGTCTAACCATTATGAAAAAAGAAAAGAAAAAGAAAAAGGATAGAATACTTCCTGAAAGCTTCAAATAATTTATTCTAAATCTACACTTCACAAATATATGCATTATGAAAATCAATTTGCCATAATCTTTTGCAAAATAAATATCAGAATTAAACATGACCAAACAAGGACGTATTCAGGCACTGACCCATTTTTGTGAGGCAGGTTCTCTTCCATTTCTCTAAACAGGAGCTTTCTGTCGGCAATCTTCAGTTTCAGATCAGTGGCTTGCTTAAGTTCCTCCTCCCCGGGATGACCCTTGGTAGCTCTGAGACAGCGGATTTACAATCATTAAACATCATACAATCAATAAACATCCAAATTTACTTTTTTAAAATTCTTTTTTGTTTTAATAGATGTTTTACAGAAGCAGTTACAATACAATTAGGTTCATGTACGTGCAGAAGATTAGAGGAGTTACTACGACAGAGACAAGGAGGAGAGAAGGATGATAGATGTTAGACAGAATGAAAGAAAGAGCAAACCACACCAGAACACCTGCCAACCACCAACTCAGTTTAGTTTTAGTATGAGTTCCGCGGCACTTGCAACACACTAGGTCATAAAAGTGCCGATGATGTGTTACAAGAAAATAATCAACACAAAAAAGAAGGAGGAGAGATAAAAAAGATAGATTATGATAGGAAAGAGGGAACAAAACCACACTAGAGCACCCACCCACCAACTCAGCATCTTCGAAAGTTGCATAAATGTTTGAAATAAAGAGAAGGTTATTAATTGGGCTGTGGTCACAAAGTGCTGTGCTTTAAAAGAGAAGTGGTTTGTATGCTAATATCATCTTAAGAAAAAGAGGAGCAAATCGAAGGTTATTTAGAGTTGAAAAAGAACAAGAAAGACAGAGAGAAAACATGTAGAGTAGGCCTATACAAGTAAGTCAACCTGCAAAAACAAAGACACACATAACATGATAGTATTCAATCCATTTCATTTTCAAGTCAACCCGCTAAATCAAAGACATAGTATTCAACCCATCTCATTTTCTATCTCTGTGATGGTCCACAATTTTGATACAACAACACTACACATTATTTGCTTTTTATCAACCTAAAAGCACTCAGAAAGGCATGGCCATCTCTTACATCTGAGGAATAAAACATCTTCAGTACGTTTTGTCTCTGCTCCTATGACAAAGTAACAGACAGAAGCATTGCTTCAGGCTAGCCACTCCTTTAAATCAGAGTGGTGAAAAAGACACTGCACTGGAAAAAAAACAACAAACAAACAAAAAATACTCCAACCCCCAAAAAACAACAACAAAACAATCATCATAAAAACAATTGCACACAATCATTCTTTTTAAAAGATTCTACTGAATGAAAAGAAAAAAATGGAAACAAGCAGGAACTAAAAACTACAGCCCCCTCCCCTCCCAACACACCATTTCAAATAAATATCCAGCTTCAGTCATAAGAGGCTGAAGTATTGTTCATGCTCAATAACCTGAAATTTACAGTCGAATCTGCTTTATCAGCCACTTATCCAAAACAATCCTGCCATGCATTAAAAAAAAAAAGAAAAAAAAAAGGTGCAAAACCGTCCCAAACATTCACCTATCTAAGACAACAATTTTCTTTTTAACATTGGGTGGCCATTTTGGACAATTCCCCCTTGCATTTTTTCGACTTTATAATGACACTGGCAAAGATGTCAACCAGTTTAAAACAACTACTTTTCTCCTCAACAATGGGTGGCGATCTTGGACAATTTTGACAATGTAATCATTTACTATAATATATGGCAAAGTCATTAATATTTTCCGTACCTGTTTAAAGCATCGCCAATACATTTGATTCTGTATCTGTGGTGGGCTATTTGGGAGAGACATTGCTTCTGGGCTGCGCTGAGCTGTGTTAGGGTCTCACAGTACTTTTTGTGCTCGTCCTGAAAGCAATGACATGAACACACAGACAGTAGAACTAATCCATCGCTTCATATCCTAAGTCGTTGTTAATCCAGTAGTCTTTTAGTTGCAAGTCAGCCCTTTGGCCAACTGCCATCATGTAACAAAGGTGGAGGTCTTCGATATTTCTTCTTTGTTGCAACATATGGGGAATTGTTTGAGGTAGGGATGTGAAAAAGAAGTTGTCATAAGAGACTCTGCAGTTTGGGACATTTGAAGAGCAATATTTTAAGTAAATACAATATTGACAAAAAGGCATGAAACTGAAAGTCAATGACCTGGAAAACAAATGTCTAAAAACAAAGCAGTCCAGGTAAACCTGTGAGAACAAAATACAACCATTAAGATCACACTTTATTGTCCGTCTTGACAATTCGCACCCTTGTCAAAAAGTTTCCCTTACTGACATTACAGCCTGGGTATGTATACAAAAAACACTTGTAGAGGTACAAGAACAGAACAGAATTAAGAAATGGCATCATGGTGTATATATAGGCTGTTATTGGTCCAGTTTGTTATTGATCCAGAGAAATGGTATATATATATAAAAGTTAAACTAAAAGATCAAATTTTTTTGCAAAATGTGTGTGCACACAAAAATTCTGCAACTTTAAGTATAAAATATAATACCCAAGTTCTTTCTTACTGGAACAAACAAAATGTATTTGAAAATTCCCTAAACAAAAGAAGCAAGTCCATGCAAGTTATAGGAGAAAATTAAAAACAATGAATACAATTTTTTGGCCAAAACGTAAAAATGACATCCAGTGTTACATTATTTCAACAAAATTAGAAAACAATAGGCTATGATTAAAAACAATTTTTAAAAGGTAGAAATATAATAGCGAGCCTACTAAAAATTTAACAAATTTGGACTGGTTTAAAAATATTTACTGATTCCGTCCATTCGGATGCTGACAGTGGCTCTAGGTTCTCCCGCTGTTGCCATTCAACTGTCAGTGAGCAGCTCTTCAATGAAATCCGAGCGAAATCGGAAACGAATATATTTATACTTTTTAAGTTGTTGAAAGGAAACTTCAGTAGAACTTGCAAACAAGCCTGACCTCAATTTTGGAGCGTCAAAATCGATCGAAACTGCGAAATTCTTGCAAAAATAATTGTTCTTTTGTCGATATGCAGGTACATCTAGTATGCCTTAGTAAACTACATGGAGCTTGGTTATTTATATAAAAGGCCGTTGAGTGAAAAATATTCAACTAAATTTGCGAAATTCTTGCATTATAAATGTGTGCTGGGGAATTTTTTTTCCTCATCATTCGTTTTTGTCAGAAGGAAAATACAATACAATCAGAATATAATATATAGGTCATTGTAATCGACATAGAATAAGATTCCTCTAATGATTACCTGTTTAATACAAGACAATACATATGATCTAGAGTAACTTAGAGCCTCACAGTATACATTAAATAGATGCACCCTTGGTTAAAAATTGAACAGGGAAAAAAACAACTCTGCCCAGAGCTTGAAAAATCATGGATGGAATCAGTAAATTTATAATACATCATGAATAGAAATTTATAGAACATCAGGAATGACAATGATCTCTATGTTGTAAACTAACCTACATGATAAAAAGTTTTAAAAAGCAGAAGTCTTGTAGGCTCTGCCAGTAAGGCTTTTATAATCTCATACGAGACCTTTATTAAAAAGACCGCTTCCATTGAATCTTTGAAAACAAATCAAATCATATTCTTCATCAAGGCCTACTATTGAATAGATCTACTATAAATTACCATTGCGGCCACAGCCTCCCCCACCTTTCCCCCACTAATAGTAGTTCATCAAAGGTCCAGTGTCTACTAGATCTAGATCTAGATTTCTAGATGTAGATCTAATCTAGATTTAGATCTAGATTTCTAGATCTCTACACTTGGCTAAAGGAAACTGTTGTAGGGGGTTGGGATGTGATCAGCTTGGTTTGGACCTTGGTTGATTTTAAAGCAGATTTTGGGCTTGGTGTAGGACACGGTAACACTAGATCTTGATTCTACATTCATCAACTCGTGATATGATAGTATAGCAGAATATAAAGTAGGCACTCACCTCCAACTGAACCAGCTCCTTATCCAAGTCACTCCAGTCTTCCAGAGCACCTGTGAGCAAGACGTTCGGAGAAGACTCGCGAGACATCTTCGTCGTAGTTCGAACCCCGAGTTCTAGAACATCAGTTAAATCTAGACTAGATTCTATATGTTGTTGTGTTAAGGAAATCCCTTGTATATATATATTGGTGCTTTCTTCACTGCCAAATATTTTGAGCGCAAGACAATATGCAGCCAGATTTGAGCACCAGAAGATCACAAGTCCCGGCACCGCTGTCTTTTCCACGATTTAAAGTTTTTGATCCTCAAAGCCTATGTTCGCCAGTGTTTGCATCTGCCTCAGTGGTCTGGTCTGGCGTTCGTTTTATTTTGAGATGACGTTGAACATTTTTAATCAACGGTGTTCCCCCATACTGAGACTGCCGGTAAAATATTACGCCACTTACGCTGTGGAAAAAAGTAAAAAGAAGACCTTAATCCATAATAATTTTTGTAAAAAAGAGCACCCAAGCTAAAACTTGAATTGCATACATAGAAAAATGTTACAAAATGTAATTTATAACCCCCTACCTAATTAAAACAAAAAAACTCAAACAATTATGGTCTTGTATTATCACCCATAAGCATTAACCTTGTCTAACAACGTAACGGTTGAGTACGTAGGCCTACCTACATATTGACAAATCTAATGGTGTCAAGTAAAAATGAGTGTATACGATCCTCAGTTGGACATTTTATGATGTAAAAATTAGGATAGACAGCAAGCGATACCCTACCTATCAAGTCTAAAATAAAACGATATCAAACCTTATTTTTGCGTTAGCCTTGGCCAAGATCGACGATCTGAATTTCAGGGAAAGTATTTTCCGACAAACAGATGAAAGTATACTGAAATTTCAATCTTTTCTAACCTTCCATTCTGCAGACGGGAGCCACAAAATAGAACAATGGCCTAGAAAACAGCTGTAGTGCTCTGGTTGGCTGGCTGACCTACACTGTTGCGTAAGTTTGAAAAACAAAAGTTATGATATGTGCAGTTGTTAATAGCAAAAACCAGAACTTAGATACGAGCTTAAGAACTCCAGGGGAACCCCCCGAAGAAAGAAGTAATGTGCCTTTATTGGTAAAGGATGAATAGGTTGCAACAGACACTATAATAGTTTCTTTTTTAAAAAAAAGAAAGAAAAGAAAACCGAAAGAACCAAGTTAACGTGCGTGACACAGGGGGCCTAATGATTTACTTCTGAAATCGACCTACAGATAAGGTTAACGAACGTTAACCCTTCAATATGTATACTATACTGGCTATTCATTTTCGGCTTCAGATATAAGTACTATTATCGTGAGTGTAATGCAACATTTCTGTACAGTTTTCTTCATAATTAGCTCAGGGAAAACATTGATGGAGGGCAAACAATTTTTATATTGTTCTTGAGTTTTCTATCAGTGGCTTCAATCTAATATTACATAATATAGGTTTGCGTTTCTAAATCATTATGTTTTGAACAATTTAGAAAATTTAGAAACGGGCAGCTTCAAGACTGCCTATCACAGTCAATTAACCCGGGTCAAGAGGGATAAACATACATGTCGGCCTACCCAGCTAGCCTATCAGCTGACAATGTCGATACGGTAGCCTGCTATG